GCGGCACCCATTGGAGGGGTGAACCAACGGCAAAGGAAGACCTTTTTCTCTGTCTCTCTCTCACTGTCCACTCTGCCTGTCAAAAAATGAAAAATACTGCTTTTAAAAAAGCTAGGGGCTGGAGCTATGGTTTAGTGGGTGAAGCCGCCACCTGTAGTGCTGGCATCCCATATGGGCACCGGTTCTAATCCCAGCTGCTCCACTTCTGATCCAACTCTTCTATGGCCTGGGAAGGCAGTGGAAGATGGCCCAAGTGCTTGGGCCCCTGCACCCGCGTGGGAGACCTGGAAGAAGCTCCTGGCTCCTGGTTTCAGATCGGCGCAGCTCCAGCCATTGTGGCCATCTGGGGAGTGAACCAGCAGATGGAAGACCTCTCTCTCTGCCTCTAACTCTCCTTTTCTATTTGTGTAACTCTGACTTTCAAATAAATAAATCTTCAAAAAAAAAAACTAAAAAGAAAAAGAAAAGAAATTTAATGTTAAAAGGTCAAAAAAAAAATCAGTCCGGCACGCATCACCTTCATCAAGTAATCAAAGTTTACATCATCGATAATGGGACAAATCAAAATCATGCCACCACTTGATAGTGGTGCAATAATAATCCTATCCTTGATAGTATGCAATAAGACAAAAAGCATGGTTCTGGCTTGTTGGTATGCTTGTTTCTTTTGGATGTTGGGGACTGAGTTGCAGATGCTACCCCAAGACCAAGAGCTGACGTATGCCCTGCTCTCTTCCACTTGCTCCTCTTTTCCATTCCCAAAGTTAAAAACAAGAGAAAGAACAAAGCATCCCTCCTAGACATTCTTGTCAAACATGTATATCCTGGAGCTAATCATGAGGAAGCATCAGACAAGCCCAAGTAAGGGACAATCCACAAGAGTGGGCCTGGGGGCTGGGACTGTGGCATAGTGGGTAAGGCCACCACCTGCAGTGCTGGCATCCCATATGGGCACCGGTTCAAGTCCTAGCTGCTCCACTTCCGATCCAGCTCTCTGCTATGGCCTGGGAAAGCAGTAGAAGATGGCCCAAGTCCTTGGGCCCCTGCACCCACGTGGGAGAAGCTCCTGGCTCCTGGCTTCAGATCGGCTCAGTTCTGCCCATTGTGGCCATCTGGGGAGTGAACCAGTGGATGGAAGACCTCTCTCTCATCTGCCTCTGCCTCTCCATAAATCTTTCAAATAAATCTTAAAAAGAAAAAAAGAGTGGGCCTGGAACTTTCCTAAGCTCATGAAAGTCAAGGGAAGATTCATAAAGTAACACTGACATGACAACTAAATGCAACAAGTGATTTAGAACTGGATCTTTCTGCCATAAACGTCTATTAGCACAAGCTCAAGGGGATCTGAGGATTAGACAGTATAATGTATCGGTGTGAATTTCCCATTTTGATGGTTGTATTATAGTTATATGGAATAATGTCCTTGCTTGTGGGAAATTCACATTAAGATACTGGGGACCTGGCATTGTGGTATAACAGGTTAAGCAACTGCCTGCGACGCCGTACTCTGGCCCCTGACAACCACGTGCAAGACTCAGATGGAGTTCCAGGCTCCTGGCTTCAGAATCGCACAGCCCGAGCTGTTGTGGTCGTTTAGAGAGTGAACCAGCAGATTGAAGAGAGATTCATATTCATTCTCTGTCTCCCTCTCTCCCTCTGTCACTCTACGTTTCACATAAATAAAATCTTTTTTAAAAAGATATTTGGGAGTCATATGGTATTGTGTCAGCAGTTTATTCTCAGGTAATTCAGGGAAGAACAATTCTTTATAATATATTTTCAACTTATCTTCAAGATTATTTTCTTTTTTCTTTATTTGACAGGTAGAGTTACAGACAGTGAGAGAGAGAGACAGAGAGAAAGGTCTTCCATCCGTTGGTTCACTCCCTAAATGGCTGCTACGGCCAGCACTGTGCCAAACCAAAGCCAGGAGCCAGGTGCTTCCTCCTGGTCTCCCACACGGGTGCAGGCGCCCAAGCACTTGGGCCATCCTCCACTGCCTTCCCGGGCCACAGCAGAGAGCTGGACTGGAATAGGAGCAACCGGGACTAGAACCCAGCATCCATATGGGATGCCAGTGCCGCAGGTGGAGGATTAACCAAGTGAGCCATAGTGCCGGTCCCCAAGATTATTTTCTAAACATTATTAGAAAGCACGTACATTCAGATTATAACGCCATTAAAAACTGGAATCTACATTCATGAGAAATAAATTAGGACAATTCGAAGGTAGTAACACCCTTCTTCTAAGCTTTTAGAATAACTTCATCTGTACAGGGTAGGAATGAAATGGTCAGGGCCTGCACTGTGGCGCACTAGGTTAATCCTCCGCCTGTGGCGCTGGCATCCCATGTGGGCGCCAGCACCGGTCCTGGCTGCTCCACTTCCAATCCAGCTCTCTGCTGTGGCCTGGGAAAGCAGAAGATGGCCCAAGTGCTTGGGACCCTGCACCTGTGTGGGAGACCCAGAGGAAGCTCCTGGCTTTGGATTGCCTCAGCTCCAGCTGTTGCAGCCATTTGGGGAATGAACCAGAGGATGGAAGACCTCTCTCTGCCCTCTGCCCTCTGCCCTCTACCTCTCAAATAAATAAAATCTTAACAACAACAACAACAAAAAAAAAAAACAATGAAAAGGTCTTTTCATCACAGGAGCCAATACATACTGTATCTATTAGAAATACTAAAATACTATCAGTACCTCCTAAGCTGTCAAGGTCCTCAAGAATCCTGCCAAATCTGTGAAAGAGAGCACAAACTATTAGTTAAATCCAAGTCATGACGATTTTCTTTTAAAAATAAACACATGCTGAGGCACTGAAAATGTTCTATAATTGATTGCAGTGACGGCTGCATGTCTCTCTGAACACAGTAAACACCAGAAAGTTGTATATCTTAAACAGGCGAATTCTACAGTGTGTGAATTGCATCCTAAAAGTTGATTTAAAAATAAAAACTAAACACAAATAATACAAAACTAGTGCCACGTTACCTTACAGTGTTTTGAACAGTCAAGTATTTCTCTCGTAATTCAGGCTCGCTGCCCAAAGGCAAGAGAACTTCGATGTAGCTGTCCTTCATCCTCCTGGGCTGCAGGCCCTTCTGCGAGTCCGCCAGACAGCTGTGGAGGAGCTTTCTCTCCTCCATCGCTTTCACGTGGTCCCTGACACAAAGAACGCGAGCTTCAGACACACAGGAACGGTGCCCCCCCCCCCCCAACTCGGGGGACACCGTGAAAGGCGCAAAGAAAGGTCTGGACCGACTTCATCTCCTCTTCCCTCCTCCCTACCCAGCCGCCACTTGGTGAAACGGAACATTCCTGGTGACATTTCTTAGGCTTGTAGATAAGCATGGACTTAAAGTGATAGACTCGAATGAACCATCTATTTGCCCTCATCAAAAAGTTTACTCAGCGCCATGGCGTTAGTAGGTTAAGCCTCCACCTGCAGTGCCAGCATCCCACACGGACACCGGTTCAAGTCCCAGCTGCTCCACTTGGATCCAGCTCCCTGCTGATGGCCTGGGAAAGCAGCGGAGGAGGGTCCAAGTGCTTGGGCCCCTGCACCCATGTGGGAGACGCAAAGAAGCTCCTGGCTCCTGGCTTTGGATTGGCCCAGCTCTGGCCATTGCAGCCATTTGGAGAATGAACTAGTGGATGGAAGACCTGTCTCTCCCTCTCTAATTCTGCCTGTTAAATAAATGAATTAATTTTAAAAAGTTTACTCAAAGAATAGCATAAGTGAAACCAAATTTGAAATACAGAGATGGATACATGGTATACACAAGAGATAAAGAACAGCAAGGCCACTCAACTCCACAGTCTTGTTTCTCATCTGGACTATTCTCAGATTCCCTCTGCCTTCTCTGGGCTTCTCTCTGCCTTCAGTTTCAGGAAAGACAGAGGAGGAAAAATGAACTCTAGCTGAAGGAAGTATGGGAGGCAGAACAAAAGCCCAAGAGGAAGCGAACATGCAAAGAGGATGGGGCCAGCAATGCAGCTCAGCAGACTAAGCTGCCACCCGCAGAGCCGGCACATAACATGGGCACTGCTTTGAGTCCCAACTGTTCCACTTCCGATCCAGCTCCCTGTTAATGCGCCTAGGAAAGCAGTGGAAGATCTGCACCCACGTGGGAGACCCACAGGAAGCTACTGGCTTTGGATTAGCCCAGCTCCAACCACTGGGTCCATCTTGTGAGTGAACCAGCAAATAGAAGATCTCTCTCCTCTGTCTCTCCCTCTCTTGCTGTAACTCTTTCAAATAAATAAATATTTAAAAAGAAAAGAGAAGACAAGAGGGGGAAAAAAGAAGAGAGGATTAAGGTAGAAGAGAGACAAAGGGACAAGGAATAAATTGTTGACATCATTCATTAAAATGTCTTTCTCACCTTAATCTTATTACGTATTACTGACAGAAATGGTTAGCCGAAAAATATATAGGAGATAGTTACGAGTAAAATGGTACCAGTAATGAGGAATGTGAAACGTGGAATCTTTTCAAGAAAAACACCTTCTTTAAGTCAAGCTGACAACAAATCTCTGTAAGTCAAGCTCACACAAACAAGTTTGGGGGTGGGTGGGAAGTAACTGTCAACTATTCTAGGTTAAAGGAGACCAGAAAATCAAAACCATCAGATGTACCATGCAATCCTTCATTGGATTTTAACTATTTTTTTTTTAGCTTTGTGGGTTTTTTTAATGAGCATTTAAGATTTATTTATTTATTTATTTGAAAAGCAGAGTAATAGGTAGAGAGAGGGAGACAGAGAAAGAGGTCTTCCACGCTGGTTCACTCCCTAAAATGGCTGCAATGGCTTGAGCTGGGTCAATCTGAAGCCAGGAGCCAGGAGCTTCATCCGGGCCTCCCACACGGGTGCAGGGGCCCAAGGACTTGGGCCATCCTCCACTGCTTTCCCAGGCCATAGCAGAGAGCTGGATCGGAAGTGGAGCAGCCTGGTCTCAAACCAGTGCCCATATGCGATGCTGGCATCACAGGCGGAGGCTTTACCCACTATGCCACAGCACCGGCCCCCATTAATGATTTTTAAAAAACCCTAAAGGACATTTTGGGAATGGTTGAGGAAATCTGAATATAGATGAGCATTACATTTACTATTAGGGAATTACTGTCCATTGTGTTACATAAGACAATGTCTTATTTGTTGGAGATAATGAAAGCTGATGTTATGTAAGAGAACGTATTTACTTATTGGAGATGCATGCTTCAGTCAATGTCATCTTATCTATAATTTCCCTAGAAATGGTTTCGCTAATGTATGCATGTTGGCAAAATTTGGCAAAATGTTAACAATTAAATCCAGGTGGTGAGTACATAAGTATTCTTTCAAGTTTTCAGTAAGTTTTTCCATATAAATAACTTAAAAGGACCAGTGTCGTGACCCAGTGTACCAAGCTCCTGTCAGTGACACTGGCATCCCATATCAGAGTGCTGGTTCAAATCCTAGTTGCTCTGCTTCTGATCCAGCTCCCTGCCATGTACCTGGGGAAACAATAGAAGATGCCCCAACTACTTGGGCCCTTGTACCCTGTGGGAGACTCAGATGGCCCCTGGTTTCAGCCTGCCCCACCCCTTGCTATTGCAGGCATCTGGGGAGTGAATTAGCAAACAGAAGATTTCTCTCTCTCTCTCACTCTTGCTCACTCTCTCTCTGCATATATGTGTGTGTGTCTTTCTCTAACACTGTCTTTCAAACACATAAATCTTTTACAAATTATTTTCCATATTTTAAAAAAAGGACTTAAAAATAAGTCATTAATTTCCGTACCAACAATAGAAAAATTTATGTCATGATCATTTGTGCTTTTGTTTTCATTCATTTTAGCCTCAAAATTCTAGGCACAAAGAAGGGTATGATCTCACTTTACAGTAGGGAAATACTGAGAGACAGTGAAAGGTAACATAGGACACCTGGTTAATTGTGAATGGACAAGAAACAATAGAGGGGTCAAGTTGTAAAAATAGAAAAACCAGGAGACTTGGATTCCAATCCCTGACACCAAATAGTTTAATCTGAGAGTTTGTTTCATCATGTGTAAAAAAAAAAAAAAAAGGAATAGGAACAGATGCCATAAGCATGTCACCGATTTCTTTATGAGGCTCAGTGAGGTAATGCATCTGGCTGTCCCTGGATAAGCACACAGTATCTGTAAGTCCCACTGTTTTCTAATAATGATACAACTGCTGAGTACATTACAATACTGATCTTTTCCTCCAAAGAACTTAATCCATCTTCAAACACAGGGCTCCCCGTCAACTGAATCTAAACACAGCCTAACATAAAACACCTTGGGGAAGAAAGAACAAACACCAGCATACATACCTCCAGTTTGTGGATACTCCTACAATCTCCCGCAACTTATCTCGAACTGAAACAAAAATAAAAGGTTACTCCATCAAACAGAGAACTATGAAGGCACTTGAAAAAGTTCACGGACACAAAATTTAAAATATGAACTTTGGTGCCAAAATTTTTTTGAAATCTATGTATCACTTCCTCAGAATATACATTTTTTACATACTATGAAAAAACTTTTTGCATCAAAAAAATTTTGGCACCAATAGAAACGCATAAATTCCATTTTTCCATGAACTTTTAAAGTATCTTCGTATGAGACCTGGATTGTGGCAATGAGCTCAAGAACTGTGAAAAGTGATTCATGCACTCAAAAGATCTTAAGACCCAAGATTCTCCATTTAATGCCACAATAAATGGCTCAGGGAAGGGATCAGCCTCTACTCTTGAAAACCTGAAACAACTACACTACCAGCTTAGTGCAGAAAAGAACACCTCTGTGCCAGTCACTGGGGGTTATGTAAACAAAAAAAAGAACTTCAATTATTCACCCACTGGGGCTTTATCAGTGGCAGTAGAAGAAGCCCTTTATGATGCAGAAATTACAAACAGGATCCCTCCTACCTTAATTTTTTTCTTCTCACAGGAAGTAGATCAAATTACTTGGTATAGAAACTAATATTCATTTCCAAACCTGAGTCTGATTTCTTATATATTTATAACTATCCTACTTGTTAGAAAAGTTTAAGGCAGAAAAATGAAGCAGACTTAGCTCAAGAAAAGAACGCTATATAATTTTAATTAATGCCCATTGCCCAAAAGTACAAGAATGAATTAGCTTAAAATAAAACTCAAGCACTTAAAAGTCAATACTAATTACCATACACACCATGATTCACATGTATAGATGAACATGCTATATGAATAGAAGGAAAATCAATTAGATAATAGTAATTCGAAACTAAAAAACCAAATCTATAGTACCTCAAATGTGTTTAATTCATGTGTTTCTACTATCATTTCAAAATAGATATTCCAGTTATAGGAAATATAGTCATCCTTGGTCTTTCAATAGCTAACTGATCAGGGCTGGTGCTGTGGAGTAGCAGGTAAAGCCATCGCCTGCAGCTCTGGCATTCCATTTGAGTGCTCGTTTAAGTCCCAGCTGTTCCACTTCCAATCCAGCTCTCTGCTAATGCACCTGGGAAAGCAGCTGAAGATGGCCCAAATGCTTGGGCCCCTGTACCCATGTGAGAGACCTGAAGAAGCTCCTCGCTGCTGGCTTCAGCCTGGCCCAATCCTGGCCGTAGTGGCCATCTTGGGAGTAAACCACCATAGTGAAGATCTCTGTCTCTCCTTCTCACTGTGACTCTTTCAAACAAATAGATCTTTAAAAAAAACTGATCCAAAAACCAAATAGAGTTAGACTAACAAGCATTTTATATGGCTACATAATAAATCTGCACACACAATAAATTTGGTGCATACTCTAACTACAAATAAATCACAAAAAGTTACAAAATTGACCCATTAGTAAATTTATATCATTTCTGATCTTTTTTCCTCATGAGTTTAAAGATTTTGGAGGCTGGCATTGTGGCCACCACCTGCAATGCTGGCACACCACGTTAGCACCAGTTCAAGTCCTGGCTGCTCCATTTTTTTTTAAGGTTTATTTATTTATTTGAAAGTCAGAGTTAAAGAGAAGGAGAGGCAGAGAGGCCTGTACTGTGGCATAGCGGGTAAAGCTGCTGCCTGCAGTGCTGGCATCCCATATGAGCACCGGTTCGAGTCCCGCCTGCTACACTTCTGATCCGGCTCTCTGCTATGGCCTGAAAAAGCAGTAGAAGATGGCCCAAGTTCTTTGGCCCCCGCACTCTCGTAGGAAGATCTGGAGCAAAGCTCCTGGCTTCGGAGCGGCATAGCTGCAGCCATCGCAGCCAACTGGGGAGTGAACCAGCGGATGGAAGACCTCTCTCTCTCTGCCTCTCCTTCTGTGTAACTCTGACTTTCAAATAAATAAATAAATCTTAAATAAAAAAAGAGGAGAGGCAGAGAGAGAGAGGTCTTCTATTCACTGATTCACTCCCCAATTGGCCACAATAGCCAGAGCTGCACTGATCCAAAGCCAGGAGCTTTTTCTGGGTCTCCCACATGGGTGCAGGGGCCCAAGGACTTGGGCCATCTTCTACTGCTTTTCCAGGCCATAGCAGAGAGCTGGATCTGAAGTGGAGCAGCCAGGACTCAAACCGGCGCCCATAAGGGACGCCAGCACTACAGGTGGCTTTATCCGGTACACCACAGCACCAGACCCAGCTGCTGCACTTCTGATCCAGCTCTCTGGTAATGTGCCTGGGAAAGCAACAGACCAGATGGTGTTCCTGACTTCAGCCTGACCCTGGCCCAGCCCCAGTTATTGTGGCCATTTGCAGAGTGAACCAGCAGATGGAAGACAGCTATCTCTCTCTCTCCCCATTTCCCTCTCCCTATATAAATTTTTTGAAAGGCAGAGTTATTTTAAAAACTTATTTGTTGAAATTATGAGCAACAGACTTCATTAAATAAAAGAACGGAAAAAAAGTACCCCAAACAGTACACCAATTACTGGTGCTCCGTGACATAAAAAATGATTATTACCAGTTTGGTCATTATACAAAGAGTGGCAGGTGCCTTCCAAGAAGGAATTTTAAACTTCATTTACATATACATGAGTAAATACACATACCCACATATTAATTTGGATCCTTGAAAGGTCACTAATTATAGTTAATACTCCCATATTAATAAAAGCAATCCATAGTTTGTATATATCAATATCAGTAACTGAAATGAACTCCAATTAAGCACGGATAGAGTCCCTCTAAGAAAACTATGGACTAGGAGCATTTGGCTGGTACAACCAACAGGCCCATCATCAGAGATCTCTCTCTGCCATCCCTTCAGCACCCACACACAGGAAGTAGAAACCACGTAAAAGAGCTTAGTCCCCAAGGCTCCAAGGAACAGGAGCTCAAATTCTGAATGTGATTTCTACTCAAAGTGATTATGCAGCTACCCTGGTCATTTTATAAATGAGATGTTTATACAACTTCCAGCTTTAATATGTTTGCTTCTTCAGTTTACACTATCATTCTATAACACATCTCCCAAAAATTACAACAGTTTGTCACCATGTGGCCATAAGAGAGAAAACCCATGCTTGCCTTCACGAATGTGGAAGATTCCCTGCTTCCTGGGGTCCTGAGAGCCTTGAGTCAGCCCTCTGCCAGGAGGAAGCAGCCCCTTGCTCAAGGCGCCAAGCCTATAAAACAAGATAAAACACACTTAGAAGAGGTTCCAGAGCGTCTTCCTTGACAGCTCCGAAGACGCCGCCTCCTCCCAGAGCATGTGGTTACACCACAGTGTCAGGCTTCGCAAGTGTACGTATGTCTGCATACGAGGTTAGTCCACAGTCTTCTCTCCAACTCAACATTTCTTGCCAGCAGAGACCAATTAAGTAATTATCTACAAAGTAAATAAAAGATGGCAAACAGGTTTAATGGATTGATTCTTGCTCTATTTTACCAGCTACGGAAGCCCTGAATCGATTTGGTAAACAACTAAGCAAATTAATTATGAACATTTATTTTGTTCTTGATTATCACACCGTATTTCCTGAATAAACAAGATAAGTGCAATTACAACTGATTCAACTTTGAACATTGAACTAGCCATTCCCAGACTCAAAGAATTTATTGGACTTAAGTAGACATTTCCAAGATCTGCAACAGAATAAAACAGAAGTTATTTATCCAAATCTAACTGATTCTCCCACAATAAATTGTTTACATTGATTTGTGTTCACTATTGTTTAACTGTTGGCTCCCAAAAACACATTATCATATCGCTGTAACACACATATATCTGGGATTAAAGACTGGTGAGGGCACAGCTGAAGAAGGCAAGGCATTGAAGGTCACCAACCACACATGCTGCCTGCCACTCCTCCTAGCTCCAATCTCTCGTCAATTCTCACTACTTAATACAGGGATAAGTTATGATTAACCAAAAATTTAAAAAGGAAAAGTGTATTTTTAATTTTCTTTAGGGCTCCAACTATCATATAAAAATTTCTCCTGAATAAAAGCATTCAGGTAAAAATATTTTGAAATCTACATGTAGGGGCCAGCGCTGTGGTATATGGTATATGGGTGCTTGTTCAAGTCCTGGCTGCTCCACTTCAATCCAAGTCCCTGCTAATGCGCCTGGGAAAACAGTGGAAGATAACCCAAGCCCCTGCACTCATGTGGGAGACCAGAAAAAGCTACTGGGTTCGGCCTGACCCTGCCCTGGCCATTGCAGCCTATGGGGAGTAAACCAGCAGATGGAAGATTTCTTTCTCCTTCTTACCTCTGCCTTTCAAATAAATAAATGAATCTTTAAAAAAAAAATGTAGTCTTGACACGTGTGCTGCTACAACAAATCCTTGACTTTCATCAAGTCAACTAGTCTAGTAGCAAAGAACAGAAATAGGAGCGTGCATTTCCTGGTCAAGTCTAGATAGAACCCAATTCCTTTAATTGCCCCCCCCAACACACACACACGTGCACATGTAAGTTGCTCTTTTCACATTCTCAGGCTACCTCCCTTATGGGGAAGGCCTTCAAAAAGTTCAAGAAAATGCATATTATGAAAAATTATGCATGGATTTCAAAGTCTCTGTATCAAAATAAACTTAAATTATAATTCCACGTTTCCATGAACTTTTTGAGGTTACCCTTTTATATACAGTCATTTGTGGCATGAAAAGACTGCATATACACTTGTCACCAAGACAGCACCAAAGGCGAAGAAGGAAGCTCCTGCCCCTCCTCAAGTCGAAGCCAAAGCGAAGGCCTTGAAGGCCAAGAAGGCAGCGCTGAAAGGCGTCCACAGCCACAAGAAAAAGAAGCTCCGCACATCGCCCATGTTCCAGCAGCCCAAGACACTACGCCTCGGACGGCAGCCCAAATACCCTCGGAAGAGCACCCCCAGGAGCAACAAGCTTGACCACTATGCCATCATCAAGTTCCCCCTGACCACGGAGTCAGCCATGAAGACAGAAGACAACAACACGCTGGTGTTCATTGTGGATGTCAAGGCCAACAAGCACCAGATCAGACAAGCTGTGAAGAAACTCTATGACACTGATGTGGCCAAAGTCAACACCCTGATCAGACTGATGGAGAGAAGAAGGCGTGTGTGTGCTGGCTCCTGACTACGATGCTCTGGACGCTGCCAACAAAATTGGGATCATCTGAACGGAGTCCAGCTGGCTCATTCTAAATATGTTTTTCACCATAAAAAAAAGACTGCATACACAATGGTATCCCCATAATATCATACTGGAGCTAAAATTTTCCTATCACCCAGTGAAGGAATAAATGAAAAAGAGGCAAAAGGAAAGATAAATGCATAAGAACCCCCAAGAAAATTCAGTGAAATGGTACAGAAGTTCCAGCAGACCTCAATCAGCTCCTTAAAGGGTTTTAGAACATGGACCCCAACACAGAAAGGTTTTCATTAACAAAGAAGAATGTTCATAGTGCATTATCTGTTTATAAGCAAATCCAAGATGAAAAAAAGAAACAAACCATGCAAATCACCAGGTATTTCTGAAAAGAATGACACTTTCTCAAGTGGGGACTCAGGTCCCTGGGGAGGTGTCCAGAAGCTAGCGTTGCTATCACAGGTGATACCCGTTCCAGGCCTGTTCCTGCCCCCAAGGCCTTCCAGTGGGACAAGACGTGCAGGTGCAAGACCCTGCTGAAGATGATCCTGACTCTGTGTAGCCCTAGGCTAGCGTGTGTGTGTTCATTTTTTTAAAAAATATTAAACATTTAACATTTTTCTTTTAAAAACGTTAATTTATTTTCATCTACTTGAAAGGCAGAGCGACACAAATGTCCACAACAACCAGGGGTGAGCCAGGGCGAAGCCAGGAGCCTGGAACTGTATCCGGGTTTCCAATATGGGTGGCAGAGGGCCAAGCCCTTGAACCACTATCTGCTCCCTCCAGGGATGCATTAGCAGGAAGGTGGGTCAGAAGCAGAGTAGCCAGAACTCAAACAAGCACTGTGATATGGGATGCAGCCGTCCCAAGAGTCTGCTCAACCCAGTGTGCCACAATACTCAGTCCTTAGTTTTTAACAGAAAAGTCAAAGTAACGATTATTTTTTTTATTTTTTAAGGTTGATTTATTTGAAAATCAGAGTTACAGAGAGAGGAGAGGCAGGGTGGGGGTGTCTTCCATCGGCTGGTTCACTCCCCAGTTGGCTGCAATGGCTGGAGCTGCACTGATCTGAAGCCAGGCGCTTCCTCTGGGTCTCCCACACAGGTGCAGGGGCCCAAACACTTGGGCCATCTTCCACTGCTTTCCCAGGCCATAGCAGAGAGCTGGATCAGAAGTGGAGCAGCCAGGTTTTAAGCAGGCACCCATATGGGATGCCGGCACTTCAGACCAGGTGTTAACCCACTGTGCCACAGCGCCGACCCCACAGATCAAGTATTTTCAAAACAGAAGTCTACAGGGGCCAGTGCTGTGAGTCAGTGGGGTAAGTCACCGCCTGCAATACCAGCATTCCAGATGGGCACCAGGTCAAGTCCCTGCTGCTATGCACATGGGAAAGCAGCAACAGATGGCCTAAGTACTTGGGCCCCTGCCATGTGGGAAACCAAGATGGAGTTCCAGGCTCCTGGCTTCGGCTTGGCCCAGCCCCAGTCATTGTAATCATTTTGGAGAGTAAATCAATAGACAGAAGATCAATCTCTCTCAGTAACTCTGAATTTCAAATAAATAAATGAAATCTTTTGGTTTTTTTTTTTTTAAAGCACAGAGTAATATATAAAGAAAATATTCTGTACAGTTGTATAATGTATTTGTGTTTTAAGCTAAGTATTTATAGTCCAAAAGTCTACAAAATTTACAAGTTTATAAAGTAAAAAAAGTTATAGTTGGAGGCCGGCGCTGTGATGTAGTGGGTATAGCTGTGTCTGCAATGCCAGCATCCTATATGGACGCCAGTTCAAGTCCTAGCTGCTCCATTTCTAGTCGAACTCCTTGCTAATGGCCTGAGAAAAGCAGTGGAAGATGGCCAAGAGCTTGGAGACCTGAAGGAAGCTCCTGGCTTCAGCCTGGTCCAGCCCTGACTACAGCAGCCATCTGCGGAGTTAACCAGTGGATGGATGATCTTTGTCTCTGTCTCTCTCTCTCTTTCAAATAAATAACCTTTGTAAAAAAAAAAAAGTTACAGTCAGCTAAGGTTTATTACTGAAGAAAGAAAAAAATGTTTTGAAATTAGTGTAACCTAAGCGCATCGTTAACATCCTTGGCCTTCCCCTTCACTTGCCACCGACTAACTGCCCAGAGCAGCTTCTAGTCCTGCAAGCTCCACTCATGGTAAGCACCCTGTACAGGTGCACCGTTTTTTTAATCTTTATAGTTTGTTCTACTGTACCTTTTCTGTGTTTAGATAAATCCCATTGTATCACAGCTGCCTGTAGTATTCAGCATAGTAGCATGCTGTACAGACTTGTAACCTAGGGGCAAACATACCATGTGGCCTAGGTGCATGGTAGGTTTGTTTAGATCTCTGTTTATATCACAAAGAAATCACCTAACTGTCCATTTCTCAAAACATATGCTCATCCTTGAGTGCTGCGTGATTGTAGATGGAGCACCTGGGTGAAGAGACGGGAGAATGGTTTCATCAACACCTCAGTACCTGGGGGTTAGCGGCGTATCCCCTTACAGCTCTCAGGGGTCTCACATCAAAACTTCTAGGTCTTTAGAAGAACCGTTAAGCGGCCTTGGGGACACTCAGCCCCCAGGACCCCATGACTGAACGTTTCCATTAACAAGAGACCTAGGAGCCCAACCTCTTCATGGTCTGCTTGCAGATTCACACAAATCACATGGAGGTATGAAAAGAAATGTCTCGGCTTCATCTTGAGTCCCAATATGAAAAAGTTTTCATGACAGTAACAGGCAGTGCCACTCATATGCCCCCCCCCCCCGGTCTAAGGCAATACCTCAATTTTCAATTTAGAGACTAAATGAACTCAGGTGCCTCTTGTGAGTCTGGGAAAAAAAAGCTGTGAAGGTTGCCCACTCATCAACCTAATCCTTACACAGTGTCTGTATTCATGTGTGAACTTTCACTAGACACTGCCACAGCACGTTTCAGGTTCCATGGACTCGTGAGCAAAGCACTCAGGGCTCTCAGGGTTTAGTGCAAAGGAGAGCCTCCAAACTGAGGGAGGTCAGTTCCTCCCAGATTTCAGAATCAGACCATGGAGGCTGTGGGAGGCCTTTCACAATACAGCCAATGCAAACTAAAGTCGACTGAGCTCCTCCTTGCAATGACTTTCAGCCTGTCTTCGAATAATGTAGCAAAGCTTTGTTCTTTTAAAGTGCTGTCTGTAAGCAAGAGAAAGGGAAATTCAGAGAACCCTTTCAACAGATAGCAAGGACTCTAGGAACCGTGGGGGAGAGAAAGATACACAGAAATAGAAATATAGACACAGAATGTGGAGGGAGAGCGCAGAGAGACCCAAGGGCAAGAGAACTGGCGGGATCAATGTGGATCGGAACTCTGCGCTACACCGAGGGTAGGGGGTTAGAGGCAAGGAAGGCCCACTGGCAGTAGATGCCTCCAGAAACTGGAACAGGTGTAGCACCCTGAGACCCAGCCAAGAAGAACGAACTTGGAAAGGCAGAAGTGCGGGGAGGGGCATGCGTGGAGGACAGCGACACAGCTCTGGAGTCTAAAGCCATCAGTCCTTAATTGTGCCAGCTGGGAAGATTACAGACCAAGTGGTCCAATTAAAACACCACCACCCCCTTTACAAAGGCCTTGCTACTCATTAAAGGAAAAGTTTCAAATTAGCACCAGAAACCTAGTCACACAGACCCTAAAGGCCCTGACAACCAAAACATACCCTGCAATCTCTACCCAAGTTACAACACATTGAGGTTAGATTCCAAGTGGGTCAAGTGCTAAACCCTAAAAGTGTTCTCTGAAGAAAGGCAAAGACGGGAGCGGTCTGGTGGGACTGCAAATACGAGCTTTCTGCCCACGCGCTACCCCACAATCGTCTCCAACCACGTCGCCAATGAGCAAAGAGAAAGGAATTTCAGGGAACACCCAGCTTCCTCCCCTAAAAGTGAGGCTTTACTCTGCAGATCAAACCCGGGGCTAGAAGTCTCTAAGGTGGAGTGGGGTGCCCCGCCCTAAGCCGACAGACCAGTGTCAGGGCGGGTTCGCAGTGGGCGGGCGCCCTTTACCCCGAAAACTCAAATGCCCACGGCGTGAGTTCAGCGCGCCCCTGCCCGCTTCTTCCGCCTCAGCCCGCTCCCAGCAGAGACGGAGGACGTAGCCGCCCTTGGACAGCGCCCTACGAGGTCCTCCCACGCCCTGCTACCTACCGCAATGCCGCCCGCCTCATCGCGCCAGGCCGCGGTGCCAACTGCTGGAGAACGCGCCCCACGCGCCGGTCAACAAAGGGTAAGTGGAGCGATAAAGATGCACGCCAGCGAACGCGAACACGAGATGGAACCTCGCTCCCCACGACCACGCCCTTACGGGAGGGCGGGGCCACGCTGCACGAGGGCGGAGCCGCTCTTCCTGAGATGGGAGGGGTGGGTTGTCCGGTGGGCGGGGCTTCCCCTCCTGGGGCGGGGCCACGCTGAGAGCGGGCGGGGCCACGCTGAGAGCGGGCGGGGCCACGCTGAGAGCGGGCGGGGCCACGGAGGAGTCGCGATTCCGGGGGCGGGGCCGCTCTTGAGGGTGAACGAGTTGTCAGGAGGGAGGGGCTGCTCCTCCGGGGCGGGGCCACTCTGAGCCTGGCAGTCCCTGGCCGTTCATTGGCTGGAACCTGAGTCCGCCTCTGCGCAGTTTCCCGCTCAATCAGCTGCGTAGGGCCTATTGCCCACCCTAGAACCGGCCTATCTCCGCCGTTGTAGAGTAAATGACCCACGCAGAACCAGCAGGGCGTGATTTGGAAGCTAGGCGCGAGTCAGCCCTGTACATTTTGTCTCCGTTATTCTTAATCCCTGTGGCTCAGCTCCCAGTCTGGTTCTTGCCCTTAGTTGCACGTTGGAATCTCCTGGGCAGCTTTCCAAAATACTGCTGCCAAGGCCCCCCTCCGGAAATTCTGATTTAATTAGTCATGGGTGCAGTTGTCGGAAAGTGCCCAAGGTGATGCTAGTGTAAGCAAACGTTGCGAACCACTGACCTAATGAGAAAAAACTTCCTCTTCTGTTGTCGGCCTGCCCCCTGCTGGACATCTTGGCTGACCCAGAGAGCCTCAAGGCCAGAGTAGATGATTTCATTTGGAGACCTGATTCTCTGAGCGGTTTGCATTGAGCCAGGCACAATTACAGAGAATGCAAAAGAAAACCAAGACAAAAATCCCTTCCCTTGGATGACGAGGGGCTTACTCTATAGTGAAGGAAAACAAATCAGCAATTTCAAAAGTGGTGAAGAGGCTTAAAGAGAGAACAAAACTAGTTACTAGAATGAAAAGGTGGTCTTCTGAGACTACAAGGGGACTTAAGTTCCTGGAAAATAAAATTTAAAGATATGTTTATTTTGGTGCAAAAAAATTTTGAAATCCATACATACTTTTTTCATAATATACATTTTCCATGAACTTCGTAAAGACTCCTCAAATATAACAGCCTTTTTTTTTTTTTACAGGCAGAATTAGTGAGAGAGAGAGTCAGAGAGTTATAGACAGTGAGAAAGGTCTTCCTTCCGTTGGTTCACCCCCTATATGGCCGCCATGGCCAGCGCTGCAACAATCCAAAGGCAGGAGCCAGGTGCTTCCTCCTGGTCTCCCATGCGGTGCAGGGCCCAAGGACCTGGGCCATCCTCCACTGCCCTCCCGGGCCACAGCAGAGAGCTGGACTGGAAGAGGAGCAACCGGGACTAGAACCCGGGGTGCTGGCGCCACAGGCGGAGGATTAGCCAAGTGAGCCACGCCATATAGCCATGCTATGTGCGTTTCCCAAATACCTCCCCCAATGACTTAGAATTTGCTGATGTGAATTAAGTTAATTAAGCTAGCTAGTTAACACGTGTAACTCATGCGTTACAAACACGTGTAACTCATGAGTTACAAATGGAATATGGTCTCTGTGTTTTTCCTCTCTACCTAACTTTCCCAAATGGTATCAGTTCCATATCCAGAGGCCTCCCCCTTTGGCCTGCAGGGATCTCTTCTTCATTTTTATTCATATTGTCTGCACCTTTTCAGTAATTGCTTTGTTGTATTTTGTGTCAGCTATACTTCTTTATACTCTGCAACACCTAATACACCGTGCAATAAATATTGTATTGAATTATGCTATTTTGATTCTTGTTTTTATTTGAACTTTTGTTGAAGCAATAGGAAACTAGGAGAAAAAAGGTTCAGATTACACATATGGCACAATGGGGACAGCTTATCATTTTTGTGCAATCAAGTCACCTTCCAGTTATACCCAGACACATTCTCATCAGTATATAAACAACATTGATTTTGAACGGAACATCTACAACCAAGGAATCAATGCCATGAAGATACCTTCTCTCCATCGCTGATCTTCATTTTCCTGTGCATAGTGGCTTCCTTGCTTTTTCTATGTAATGGCTTTCTTCACATGGTACAACCATATCTATATGCCTAGACATTGATCCAAATTTCTGCATCTCAAGCACAAAAGGTCCTGAGAAGAGATTCATTGGCCTGGTTTGGATCAGGTACACATCTCCAGGCTACTCAGCTGTGGCAGCACAGCAAGGTCATATTGACTTACCAGGAACTTCCTCTTACAGACTTATGGCCAGGTGCTGGGTTAGACCCTGTTAACATAGGTATTTCCATAAGTGATCATACAAATGGCTATAAAGGAATACTGCAGGCTGGGCATCCATCAGTCTAATTATCTCAATTGGCAGCATGCATAAAGTTCTTAAAACAGTTTAGCAACCTTGATTTTTCTGTTTGTCTTGTTGTTGTAAAGCACCTATGCTATACCACATTTTGGATAGCAGGGATGGAAGGTGAAGTGTTCACAGAATGAAATCAGGAAACATGCGACAATTGTACAGTGGTGAGAAAAACTGTCTTTTAGTCACAGATTCTCAAGCCCACCTTTTTGTTTCCCATTGTAAATATTTCACTAGTTCTACTTTGACATGGTCTCAGCATAACAGAGATCGAATGTATAACTAAAATAAAATGCACCTAGTCTTGCACTGACAGATACATAAGATACTACCAATGTTATTACTACACATAGAACAATAAAATCAAATCAAAAACAAAAAATCTAGTAACCATCTTTCCCTGGGCTGCTGAACCATAAGTACTTTCAGATATCTGATTTAGGTAGAAAATGTTCTCGGAAAACTCATCAACTTTCAAACAGATTCATGCTATGATTTCATGAGGATAGAAAAACCTGTTTTTAAAAGTTAAGGCCGGCGCCGCGGCTCACTAGGCTAATCCTCCGCCTTGAGGCGCCGGCACACCGGGTTCTAGTCCCGGTCGGGGCGCCGGATTCTGTCCCGGTTGCCCCTCTTCCAGGCCAGCTCTCTGCTGTGGCCAGGGAGTGCAGTGGAGGATGGCCCAGGTGCTTGGGCCCTGCACCCCATGGGAGACCAGGAAAAGCACCTGGCTCCTGGCTCCTGCCATCGGATCAGCGCGGTGCGCCGGCCGCAGCGCGCTGGCCGCGGCGGCCATTGGAGGGTGAACCAACGGCAAAGGAAGACCTTTCTCTCTGTCTCTCTCTCTCACTACTGTCCACTCTGCCTGTCAAAAAAAAAAAAAAGTTAACTTACTGGGGACCAATGCTGTGGCACAGCAGGTTAAAGCCTCATCCTGCAGGGCCAGCATCCCATATGGGTGCCAGTTCGAGTCCCAGCTGCTCCATTTCCAATCCAGCTCTCTGCTATGGCCTTGGAAAGCCATGGAGGATGGTCAAGTCCTTGGGACTGTGCATCCACATGGGAAACCTGGAAGAAGCTCCTAGCTCCTGGCTTCAGATCGGCTCAGCTCCAGCTGTTGTGGCCATTTGGAAAGTGAATCAGTGGATGGATGATCTGTGTGTGTGTGTGTGTGTGTGTGTGTCTACCTCTCTGTAACTCTGTCTTTCAAATAAATAAAATAAATCTTTAAAAAATTAACTTGTTTCCTGAATCACATACATTATACAAAAAGATCCAGAATGAATTTGGGAGGAAACAATGGGGAAAAAAATTTGTTCCTGGAATATTAAACAAAATAATGGAAAAACTAGTAAGCTGTTACATGAAAGTCCTTAGTATTAACCCACTTGCTCCAACAGAAGCAAAATCCAGCCTAGGCAATTTAGAAACACTCGATTCTTATCATTTCCTCTACCGTTGCCCAGCTTGACTTTCAAGCTTGGCATCATGAAGTAGCAGGTAAAGCCACCGCCTGCAGCACCAGCATCCCATGTGGGTGCCAGTTCGAGTCCCAGCTGCTCCATTTCCAGTCCAGCTCTCTGCCATGGCTTGGGAAAGCAGTAGAAGATGGCCCAAGTGCTTGGGCCCCTGCACCCACATGGGAGACCTGGAAGAAGCTCCTGGCTTCTGACTTCAGATCAGCTCAGCTCCAGCCGTTGCAGCCATCTGGGGAGTGAATCAGCAGAAGGAAGATTCTCTCTCTCTCTGGCTCTGCCTCTCTGTAATTCTGACTTTAAATAAATAAATCTGTAAAAGAGAAAACATGCTTTATTTTTCATTCTAACAATTTACTACTGCTTAAAATGACAAAAACACAAAAATAAAACAAAATAAAGTGGCAAACATTTAAAATATGTAATATCTTGGGATCAGAGGGCCTCTTTAGCCTGACACATCTGCATTTCAGAGTGTCTATTTCAAGAAAGATGTTCTGGGGCCTGTGCTGTGGCACAGCGGGTTAAAGCCCCAGGCTAACGTGCCGGCATCCCATATGAGTGCCAGTTCAACTCCTAGCTGCTCCTCTTCTGATCCAGCTCTCTGCTGTGGCCTGAGAAAGCAGTAGAAGATGCCCCAAGTCCTTGGGCCCCTGCACCCACATAGGAGACCGGAAGAAGCTCCTGGCTCCTGACTTCAGATTGGCTCAGCTCTGGCCATTTCGGCCAGTTGGGGAGTGAACCAGTGGATGGAAGACCTCTCTCTCTCTCTCTCTCTCTCTCTCTGTATCTCTGCCTCTCTCTTTCGTTTATATATATATATATATAATTTATTTGACAGGCAGAGTTAGACAGTGAGAGAGACAGACAGAGAGAAAGGTCTTCCTTCCATTGGTTCACCCCCTAAATGGCTGCTACAGCCAGAGCTACACTGATCCGAAGCCAGGAACCAGGTGCTTCCTCCTGGTCTCCCATGTGGGTGCAGGGCCCAAGCACTTGGACCATCCTCCACTGCCTTCCTAGGCCACAGCAGAGAGCTGGACTGGAAGAGGAGCAGCCAGGACTAGAACCTGGCGCCCACTTGGGATGCCGGCGCCACAGGCAGAGGATTAACCAAGTGAGCCACGGCGCTGGCCCCGTCTGCCTCTCTCTTTCAAATAAATAAAAATGAATATTAAAAAAAGAAAGAT